AAACGCTTAACCCACCCAATTCGCCAGTGTGCAGTATGGCTTCACGTCAGTGAGCAGGATGAGAGAGGCCTGTAACGCCGTAAACCCATCGCAGTGCTCACGTTAACCACCCATGCAGATGTGAGTATGATAGCTTTTCATGTCACCGATGAGCGATGAGAAGAGGCTGTAACCCGGTACCCATCGCTGCTAACGTTAGACCCACCCGATTGCCCCAGTGTGAGTATGATGTTGCCCTTCATGTGTGAGCGAATGAGAGAGGCCTGTACCCGCTAACCAGGCTTTCATTTTTAAAGCCGGGCGCGTCGCGCTCCGCGCATCCACCGCCGCACATAAATTGTCGCCATGGCTGCGCGCCTCATCGCCCGCCTCAATAACCGTGTTTGAAATCGCGCCACCAAAAGACTCTGTGTATCGATCGCAAAAAAAAATTCGCTGCACCATCAAAAGCCGCGCCGTCACGCGTGGCCTTGAGGTAGTTTTCCCTGTCCACTGAGTCGCATGTCCTGCAATGGATCGCCGAGCCCCTGGAGTGGAGTATCTATCCCCCTAGCCAGAACTCTCGTTTTCAGCTACGAATGCAGAATGAACTTTTCACTACACCCTTCCGCAGGCGCTCAATATATAACAGTCGTCCGGTCGTTCCGTACGACTTGGATTTTCTTCGTCCAACTCAAATTGCTTCCGTGGTTGTCTGCGTGTCCAAACCTCTATAAAAATGTTATATTCATAATGCGCGCGTTCATTTTACATACGGCCAGGCGTTGGCACAATACGCTGCAAAACGCTAATGGTCTAGAACGCATGGTTGTCTGGCTGCTTTGTATACAAAGGTTAACAGTACGTGTTTTTAACAACAACAATGTTTGGTGTTAATGTTTCAATCTTTTTTGCGTCATCGGCTGACTGACACTACTGCGTCCATCACACGTGTTTTTGCTTGTTTCGCTGAAGAACGATGGGGGAAACAGGAACGTTTGTTTGTTTCGCTGAAGAACGATGGTGGAAACAGGAACGTTTGCTTGTTTTGCTGAAGAACGATGGTGGAAACAGAAACGTTCGTTTGTTTCGCTGAAGAACGATGGGGGAAACAGGAACGTTTGCTTGTTTTGAAGAAGAGCGATGGTGGAAACAGGAACGTTCGTTTGTTTCGCTGAAGAACGATGGGGGAAACAGGAACGTTCACTTGTTTCGCTGAAGAACGATGGTGGAAACAGAAACGTTTGCATGTTTTTGCTATGAAAACAATGTGGGAGAAATAGGAACGTTTGCTTGTTTTACTGGTAAACAATGTGGCTGAAATCGGAACGTATACGTTTTGCTGGAAAACAATAGGGGAACAGGAACGTTTGCATGTTTTGCTAACAGTCTGGCTAAACACTGTCATTGTTTTCTTCGCCAAATGCATGTTAGAGAAAGTTCAGCACAGAGTGCTATATGAGTGTTATCGATCAATTCCGGTCAGGCAAGTCTTTTGTTTAGCTTGATGAAATCCAATGGGACATATGTATGATACGTTCCACCAATTCCAGTATATGTTTACTGTAAGTGTGCACTAACCGAATACAAATGGCTATGAAGAGAAACATTTTATAGAAACACATTGTGCCCATCTCCTTCCCCTCCCAGGATTCTCCCTGTTAAGTTATTTTGTGTCCCAAAGTTTTGTGCACAGAAAGTATACAGTATGCGACCACATCTATCTTGCTCGAGGGCAGACTCTGGCCAAGCGTGTATATTATGCCAGCAGATGCGACATCCCTACGGTCTACTCAGTTTCAAAACAAACTGAATTGCTGTGTGCGAAATCATCCTTGTAAGCGACCGCCTTACAGCCACATACTCACGCATGACACACATGCACACGTATAGCAGACACATTCACATGCTGTGTGCACACATACTCGTGCACAAACACACGCACACTCACTGACACACGAAGTCAGGTTGAAATTGAAAACCTCGCGTGTATTAAATGACTAGGGGAGGCCCTGTGGGGTAAAATAAAAATGAGTAGCCATTAGTGACATTATGCCAGCCTCTTTCTGACCCCAACCCCCCAGTTTCCCATCGCGGGGCCGCATAAAGTACGAGTGTTTCTTATTTATCAGCAATTTTTTCTTGTGGTGTCTCCTAAGGGGTGGACTTGATCAGAAGATTTATTTTACTAGTTATTTATTTAATTTTATTGATTGAAATTTTGTGTGTGGTGCTGACCTACCCCATGAAATGTTGTGTCGGTTTACTGTAAACGATAAATATTTTATAAGTTTGTTTAATCGATCTTTTAATAGTTTGATCCTTTTGTTTGGCTAACAGGAGGATGTGTACGAGGCCAGAGAAGGAGCGAGATTCCCTATCAAGTGGACAGCCCCGGAAGCTGCGGCTGCGAGCAAGTTCACGACAAAGTCTGATGTCTGGTCATTTGGAATTCTGCTGACAGAACTAGTGACCTATGGCCGAATACCTTATCCAGGTGCGCTACCATACCACATTCCGATGTAACATGCATTTTAGTCGGTACTTTAATGAGAGAACGATCCAACTTTGAGGTTACATACATCACTAGTTCATAGTGAAAATTCACGTTGTAGGTGTTCAATAAAATGGTTCGTATGTATAACTTAAAGCTTCAATTGAGTCGGTAAATGTTAAGTACTAAAACAGCAAAAGTAGTTACTAAGTAAAAATAGCTGTTTAATTTATATTAGCACCACCCCGATAAGGAAACAAATCGCTTTACTGAGTAGATTCTGCCTGAATCCACACACATCATGCCTGCAGGATTAGGATCACCTTCATTGCTAAATACAGCTGTTATTATTTAGTTATTATTGCTTCGTAGCAGCGAATGATAAGCTAATCATGTATAATATATCGATATATATCGATAAAATAAATATCGATAATAAAAATGAATCGATAGATCATAAGATAAATATCGATATATATCGATATATTATACACGATTAGCGATAGTGATTAGTGATATGCTAACCGTGTAGATGCACGGGGTATTGCGGTGGACCCTATAGACCCAAGCGCTGTTTAAACACTAACACTAACATCAGGACTAACGTTAATCCACCCCTGCAGTGTGAGTATGGTTTCACGATCTCACGTCGCACCTCACTCTACACATATAATCGACGGGTCGCCTGGGATTCAGTCGCTGGTAACCCGGCGGCTAAGGTGGTTTGCCCTTTCGCCGTGTTTTGCGTATTTATGTTTGCGATTATATTTATGTTTCATGTTTGTATTTGCGGGCTGTGTGTTGAGCATTGCCTTGTGAATATTATTGAAACAACTGTTTTCCTTGGCGCCCCTCCAACTTGCCGTGGTTCGCTAAAAGTTCTTGTTCAACCCAAAGCAACAGTTTTCTTGCTATGAAAAATGTAAAAATGTGAATCACTGTGCATTCTGTGTGTTGCTTCATTAAATTATTCAGTACGAATTTGTTTAACTAACACCCATCAAACGCATTGTAAGTAAGTCTTCGGACTTGATGCAATAATAATGCCGCACTGCTTTAAAAAATAAAATAGGCGAAATTAATGAGTTATATAATAATAATAAATATAAAGAAGATATAATATACCTTCTCTATACGCTCTTGGTAATAAGCTTAGTTTTTATAACAGTTTTATGTGTAATGT